CAGACAGGAGCAGCACTGCTGACTGCAGATGCTTGCCTGAGAGGTTTGCCGAGGGATTTCATGTTTGCCTGCCTCTGTCCTGTGCCCCACACTGTGACAGCTGGCAGGAAGGGCTGTGTGCTCCCTGAGACCACGGAAATACACACCTGACCCTCAGGGGCCCCATGCAGACAGCCCTATGGAGACTGCTGTCTTTTTGGGAATCTACAGCCACGCATGTTTAAGGGAACACAGCCTTAAACTGATGCTTTCCTTCCATCAGCCTCTTCCAATGTAGGAGCCTGAATGAGGAATGTGGGACTCCAGGGGCTCTCCATAATGCAGTTTATTCCACCCAAGAAGTTACAGCAGTCCAGGGTCGTAGGTGACAGAGCCTGTGCCCACAGCTGTCAGCTCCAGCTGCAGGCAGGCCTGGAGACCCTTAAGTTTTGATTACATTGCATTATATACTTTTCTTTAGGTTACAATGCATTATATACTTCAGGTTACAATGCATTAATACACTTTTCTTTGCTGAGCGTCTTCATACAGTAGAACCAATCTATACCTTAACTATTATCTATAACCTGTCATAACTACTGTAATTACCATATTCATGTTACTATTCTCCAATCACTAAAAGTACATTACAATTTAAGCTAGAAGTTGTTTTTCAGTTTTCTTGCAGCGGAAAATTCTGAGACCTTTTTTCTACTTCCAGCTTTGCTGACTTGTTTGCCTGTGCTATTTTTCTGCTTGGTAAAAACATCTTGTTTGGAGTGGGTTCATCCTTTGCTCTAAGCCATAAAATCCCCATCTAACTCACAGACCCTTTGCCTCCTTGGTCATCCAGTAAGACTGGCTCAGCAATTCTTTTCTTCTATATCAAAACTTGCTTCCATCTCTATTCCTTCTTCAGATTCTACATTTAAAAATCTTTCTGCTAAGCATCCATATGTGTGAGACTTTCTTATCAAACTTCCATCCTTCCCAACATTCCAAGCCCTTGCCCTATTTTCCCCTGGGAAGGCAAAGCTGCTGTTTGGCACATCAGGTGATGAATTTCTCTTTTCACTAGACAGCTTTGTTTGCAGCAAGGCTCCTGAAAACAGGGGCATGGCTTGTTCCTCCTGCAGGGCTGAGCTGCCAGGCTGGAGCACAGGGCCATCCCCCTGTGCGCTGTCCTGCAGGGAGCCACCAAGGAGCTGTGTGACACCTTCCAGTGACACAGCAGGGCTGCTCTGCTCCCTCTCCTGCCCTGAGAGCTCTGAGCAGAGCCCAGCAGAGTGCACAGCAGCCAGGAGGGACGGGCATGCCTGAACTCATACCCCTGACAGGGCAGCGAGTGATGCACAAAGGAGGGGCAGCTCACAGGGAAAGAGAACAAGAGAATATGGCTGCTCTGAACAGCTCAGCTGCAGCTGGGTGAGGCTTTCTCTGGACCCTTCAGGCACGTCCAAGACTCATTTACTCAAAGCCAAGGGAAGAGTGGTCACAAGCTGGGAGGTGATTTCACCTTGGGTGACACAGCCACGTGTCCCCTCATTGCTGCAGCCCCGCCCTGGCAATCCCCTGTCAGCAGAGATCTGCACATCCCTTTGGCTCTACCCTCAGGAGCAGGAGCTCCCACGAGGCCAAAAAAAAAAAAAAAAAGTCTTAATTTACAAGGTGATGTAGTGATTTGATTTGATTTTTTTTAATAAATACTCGTGTTGCTGAAGCTGTTCTTGCTCACCACATGGCCTGCATCACACAGGGACATCAAGGACAGACATTTTGCTTAGCCCAAGAATAAAGCAAACCAGAGAGACTAATAAAAAAAAAAAAACAGCTGCACAGTTTGAGTTTCTTGTAGCTAAACAGGACTTTAGATATGCATTTGTGGCTGAATGGCCAAGGTGGGGATGTCCAGGGGAAGCAGCAGTAGGTCACCTGCTCTTTGCTCTCAACAAAGCTGCTAGATTTGTTCTTTTTCTACTTCCCAAAGCTTTTTTGGGTATGTCCTTCCATTCAGTTTTACAGCTGTTCCAATCAGAGCATACATCTGGAAGAGAAAGGGCCTCACTGGGCAGTAAATGGTGACACTGGCAGCACTATTTTTGTAACAGAAACATGGTCCCACATATTTCATATCGTCTTGAAATAACACATTCCCAAGGTTGGAGTCCAAATATAGTGGAACTTCAATGAAGGACCATGTTGTGGTTAGAGAAAAAATGAGTCTGAATGGTCTTTAAAGGTCAGGGAATACTGTAACTGGAAACCTTCTCAAGATAATTTAAAACCCTGGAAGGAATTTAAAACCCTGGAAGTTGAAGGAATATTTAATCCACCAGGTACCTGTATGCCTGTTTAGACTCTGAGCAGTTTTAAAGTCTGTTATAATTATCACAGGAGGAGCAGGCAGCTTGGTTTACACACATCCACTGCAGCTTGAACTTCACAGGCTTTAAGCCACTGCAGATTTTTGTACTAAAAGGGCAGGAAGGGACAGGATAAGGAAAGGATTCCTCTAGCAAAGGGAAACATTCTCAGAGTGTAGACTCACGAGATGCCGTTTGTGGAAGCGCCAACAGGAGGACATCTCCCTCCTTGCGAGCCATCCCTTGGCTGGCCCAGGCAGGACATGGGATTTAGGCAAGAAGCCTCACAGCCAAATCCTCCTCTCTGCATGAGCAGCCTGGCAGCTGTTGCTCAGATGAGCTCTCCAGTGAGGCAGGGGAGGGCTCCGGGCTGCAGGGCAGCCCCTGCTCCTCCCAGGCACTGCAAATCCTGGGAACGCTGCAGAGCAGGGGGGCAGCAGCACTGGGCTGGCTGCAGTCCTGGGGGCTCAGCACCCCAGGCTGAGCAGCAGAGACACTCCAGCAGCACCAGGAGTGATTTCAGACCTAGATAAACACAGCTCCACGTGCGGGACTGCAGCCTGGAGGATGGAACAGGTCACAGGCAGGTTCTACAGGCTGCACAGCAAAGCAAAACCTGCAGCTCTGTGCCACTGCATCAGTAGAGACGAGCAGTTTGTCTCCAAGTGCTTTCTGCCACTGTCTAACAGGATTTAAAAGACTTGAAAGACTTACCAGAAGCGTTTTAAATTTCACAGGTGAGCCCAGATCTTGTGTGGAAAAGCAGGATCACTTGTGCTCTCTCCAGTCCATCTCCCACAGGCATCAAAATAAAGCTATCAGCCTAAATTCTCTGGTTTATAGCAACACCACAGTCTCTGAGTACTCAAAATGGTAGCAAGTTGTTTTAAAAAAACAAACTCTACGTATAAAAAAAGTTCAGGGAAAAAATAAATCTCCTCCTCTTCCAAAACACCATCTACAGACACTCCCTGACTTTAAAATTCCAAATCCTTCACAAGGTCAGACGTCAGTGCTCTTTATATTTACTCAAAACAAGTGCATCGATTACTTTTCCATTTTAATTGACCTGCCAGAAGGTGTCTCCTTAATGAGGACCTAATTAAGGGAAGGAGCCTGTGGAAGCCATGTATTAGATCCACTTGGGACACACTGAAATAAACATCCTTCCCCTCTCATTACACTTCAGTGTAGCCTTCTCTTCTCTTCAAAAACCTTTTACTGCTTTCTAATATTTTTTTGCTGAGTAATTTTAAAGTCTAGCTATGGATCTTTTTTTTTTTTTTTTCTTTTAATTCTCCAGGTGAGAAAAGCCATGGGAATTCCTGTTTTCCCCTTTTCCAGAGCTAGGACACAGTGGAGTGGCTGGCTGGATGGTTAGCACAGCACCTGTACCTTCCTGTGCAGCTCAAATCTGCATTTTGAGTGTGCATTCCATTCCCTGGGCACCCATGTCATACCATCAACAGAGATTTAACTGCTGAAGCAAAAGGCAGCTCTCCTCATCCACATCCCAAAGGCTGCAGCATCCATGGGAGGCTAACAATAAAAAAGCAGTGTGCACACAGGTGTGGTTAATATCAGTGACCATCTGCAGAAGAATCATTTCCTCAGTTTTTGTGAGATATTGCTGGTACTGGACTCCTGAAAAATCTGCTGCAATAGGGTTTTTGGGGAGAGTCTGGGTTTGTGCTCCCCCCCACCCCCTCCTTAAGTTATATGCAAGTCTCCTACTCATCGTAAGGATTTATTGATTATTAAAGGTCTGTGGGTTAACTAAATGTACAGGCTTGGCAGTTGTAGTAGAGATTATTTTAGAAATGCTAACGAGGTGTTAAATCCAAGGAATCCCACTCCTAATACTCTGTAGGGTCATAAATCAGTGCAGGGGATATAAATATAAATTTAAAAATAACCATTTAAAAATCAGGTACATGACTGTAGCTATTGAGTTTATGTGTCACTTACCCCTTAGCTACTAAGGGTAGAAACTCCCACCCCCTTATGCTCTTTATTTTATACTTGAGTAAAACCATATATATGTCATTCATGGGCTTTTAGTTCATGAGGACTTTTGTGCTGGAATTAAATGGAAATGCATCATCCTGCAAGCATCCCCAGCTTTCATGTGAAGTAAATTCTTGCTATCCCTCCCCTCCCAATGCTAACTATGAAACAGGGGGCTACCTGCCCTCCGAGTGAGATTTTATTGCTAAAATAGAGTAAAAATTGTTTTAAAACAAAGAACACACATATTTATAGTAAAACTCAAGTTTGTTTTACAATTAGAGAAAAGTCACATGGTCCCCCAAAAAACCCCATTATATATATATATATATATGTATTTCGAAAATATATTTAAAAACATAAAAAACTCTAGTTAAACATATATTATGTTAATCAGTACACTTAAATATAGCTCAATTATATTTACAATATGACGCAGTTGCTTTTAAATTTTAATGCCAATTTCAGTATTTTCCCAAAAAACCATAAAATTATATAAATATACAATAAATATTTATGTTACACAAGATGAATAATAGAGAACAAGGCCACAGACATGAACTTACAGTTGCAAGAGTCCTTTAACACAGCACTAGGCCTGCTGACATGCATGGAATACTTCTGTCACCAACAGACCACAGCAAGAGTTAATGAAGTTTAATTAAGAGTTTAATGAAGTGATGTGAAGGAAAACCAACCCTCCCCTCTCTGTCTCTGTGTTAACTGAAACTGCCCAGCCTGAGAGCATGGATGTCTAATGTCAGAGCTATGGGGCTGCAGGTTAATTGCCAATATCAATAATATCAGTTATTGATCAGTTACTGAGCACAGAGCTGGCATGTTCTGGTGAATATTGTTCAATATGTTCTGGTGAATACCAGTATCAATAATATCAATAGTATCAAGTACTGATCAGTTACTGAGCACAGAGCTGGCACATTCTCGGGAGTATCACTCTGGTGTAGATGCCAGGCACAGTTCTCCAGGTTAATTGCTAATATCAATAATATCAAAATCAGTTATTGAGCACAGAGCTGGCATGTTCTTAATCCCATCTCTACAATCTCTACATCACTCTGGTGCAGGTACCAGGCAGAGTTCTACAGGTTAATTGCCAATATCAATAATATCAATTATTGATCAGTTACTGAGCATAGAGCTGGCATGTTCTGGTGAATATCGTTCTGGTGTAGGTGCCAGGCAGAGTTCTACAGGTTAATTGCCAATATCAGTATCAATAATATCAGTAATATCAATTATTGATCAGTTATTGAGCACAGAGCCAGCATGTTCTCAATCCCATCTCTACAATCTCTGCATCACTCTGGTGCACAGCTCTCTGGGCCCCCAGCTCCATGGGATGTCCTTCATCCCTCTGGAGCCACCATCCCACTCCTCTCATTCTGCCACACCTGCACCACCCTCACTGTGCCAGCTGAGCATTTACAAGTAAAGGATATAGTCACAGCTAACTCTGGGAAGGAAGGAGCTTTATTTCTAGCATGATTTGGGCATTAACATTTCTCTCTTGGAAGTCTCTTTGAACTGGCAGTTATTTGATTCCTGTATGTGAATTAGACTCCTGTCAGATCCAAGCTGTCTCTTGCAGTCTAGCTGAGTAACTTGTTTGTTATTCCCACATCAGCATCATCCTTTCCTTCCCAGCAGCCTGCCCTTGTTTTGAGAGGAGCTAGCATCAGACCACCTCTCTGCTGTTGAGAGCAGCTCCTGAGTCACGCTGCCTTTACTCAATGCAAACTACAACACACGCACAGGGGTGCCCCAGGGGAGTGAAATGCTCGGGTGGAAGGTGGACCTGCCCATGATTAAAAATGATCTTTAAGGTCCCTTCCAACAAAAAACAGTCTTTGATACTATCATTTAATTTGCATGAAAAGTATATGAGATGAAGTTTTGAGAATTTCAATAAGGTTTCAGGTTGGGGTTTTTTTTGGTTTTATTTTTTTTTTTCTGTGTGGGAAATGCCCATCAGCAATCAATGGGAAAGGCTGAAGTTTGAAGCTCAGGTGGGTCACACAACCTTCTCTTCTCACTCACAGTCTGGCCACTGGCACTTGGACAGGCAGTTACCCTCAGGAAGGGGCTGCCCTTCTACCCAAAGCAGAAGTAATCACTGATGTGAAGTGTCTGTTAGCTTCCAGCATGGGTTTCTACCAGTGATGACACAAAATCAGTTTTAAATATGCTCTTCAAAGAGCAGTACTGGGGCAAACATATTTCTGTAAGCTTTACCCAGTCAGAGTTTTAATAAACACAGATTCTACAGTATTCAGAAGCAGATTATATTTTGCAGTATTCTCCTACTTGTTCAGCTATTTTTTATCTCCAGGAACTACAAATATAGCCTGAGCCTCCAGTGAGCTTTCTAAGGAGCTATTTCGGCGCTCAGCCCACTGTGGCCAGTGTGCTGTGCACAGCTCAGCCTCACAGCCTGCCTTCCTAGCAGCACTTCTGTCAGCAGAGGGGAGCACAGAATGAACACAGCCCTCAGACCTAAGCCACCTAAGCCAGCTCCTCCAGCACTTGCTCCTGATTTGCTTCCAGAGTGGATTTTTAGTGGCAGTATTTGTTTCACAAGGTAAGCCTGCCGGCAGAGGTTGAGCCACACGAACACAACGCCAATTGCTTTCTGCTGGAAGCAGCTCCTCTCTGTCCATTCCCAAGCTGGTTTCTAGGCTCCTTCAGGCACAGATGCCCCAGAGTTTGCCCACCTGCTCTGCAGGGCTGGGGCTGCTGGCATGCTCTGCAGGGGAAGGGCATCCACACACATGGCCAAGCTCTTGCTCTCTAACAGAATGCACATTCAGTATTGACTGCAACTGGGACAGCCTCAGCCAGCCCAAAGCACTGTTATTTGTTCCCAAACTGGCTGAGCTATAAAATCCCACAACCAGCCTGATTTCAGACCCTCCATCCTCTTTTCTAGACCCTTTTTCTAGTGACACTCTCACCGTGCTTCACCAAGACATTTGATCCAAGCACAGTCTTTTATTATAGGAAAATAATTGCTCTGAACACTATAGAATATTCTCTATATGACAAGCTCCAGTTCTATGGTAAGTGAAATACTTTAAGATCACAACCAATGTCCCTCCAGAGGGAGAAAAGGGGAAAAAAAATTTCTCAAACACAAGCAAACATGGTATAAGCAAATGCATGTCTCAAAAGACTGAAAATTGAGAAGACAAAAAAAAAAAAACCCAACAACAACAAACCACCCTCCCCCAACAACCAAAAAAAGCATGTTGCCATACAGTTAAATAAGTGTTGTCTTTAAGCCTGAAGTTCAACAATGTGAAGTGGAACATCACCATTCTTTTTCAGTTGCCTTTTTTTATTATTTTTTTGTCAGTAGTTGGACTGCTATTGCAAACACCTTCACAACATACAAAAACCAAATTGTTTTCTAATCCAGAATAAGGTAATGATTTTTTTTTTGTTTTTCAATCTGATGGGAGTTCAAAAGTAAAAGAGAAACAGTAAAACTATGACAACAGCACCTTGACATTGTTTTAATTTCAACGCTATCAGAAGTTAGAAGCAGTAAACATATATACTAACAGACTAAAGATACTTACTGTCTAAAATGTAAACAGAATGTTTTGGTTCAATTTATTTTTCTGAAAGAGGACAGTTTATCATTAATTCACAATTGAAGCAGCATGCAATTTTATTCTTTTTTTTTAAATTTTTTATATTTTCAATTCTTGGCAACGGCGACAAACCACAATGTTATGGAGGAATGTAATGCAGACTTTTTTGTTCGCTTTTCTTTTTTTTTTTTTTTTAATTTTTTTTTGTTTCTTTGTTTAAACTTGTGCGCAAATGACTATTGTTCCCCTTCAGGTCATGGATATGTTCAATAAATAGATTGTGTAACCACTGTACTGTATAAACTTCAGTCATACATGCAGTCCATAAAATTATTTTTTACCGAATAATTTACCCTGTTATGTATATATACAAATAGATAATTTTGTCTCAATATAATCTATACAACACGAATCCACTATCTTCCCCTTTTAATGGTCAATGTACATACACAAGAAGTGTCTATCCTTATGAAGCGCCAGCCAACTCTCTTTTTGTTATCCATGGTGAGAGCTCTCACGTAAGACTGCGTAGTTCGGCACTGCGAGTTCCAGTGCCTCTTGTCTATGCCCCTGCAGCCCTCCTTTGTGTACCCCTTGGGGTTGCATTTGGTCTCGTAGAAGTATTGCTTCAGCTGGCCTTTGGGCACGGGCACTTTCTCCAGCACGGTGACGGTGGCCCCGGACATGTCCACCGCAGTCTTTTTCTCGGCGGCCGTCACCCACTCGCTGGTGCTGTCGCAGACGCTCAGCTCCCCGCGGCGCGCGGGGTCTGAGTGGCGCCGCACGCGCATCGACATGTTGGCGGCATCCAGGTAGTTTTTGTACTCCTCCAGCAGGAACAGCAGCGGCGGTTCCAAAGGCACTTGGCTGCTCAGCATCACTCGGGATGTGTACAAGTCTGCATCCTTGTTTCCCTCGCCGGGCTGGATGTCCTGCTCCTCGTCCAGGAGCTCCTCTATGACGTGCTCAAAGGTGTCTGCCAACGATGTCAGCGCCCTGGAACCGGCACTGGGCCCGTTTATGCTCTCCAGAGTCCCGTGGGTCCGGAGGCCTGGGTAAGCCAAGCTGCCTTGTCCTCTTAGACTGGCTTCTTTCATTGGGGCAGCTTTCATGCAAGTGAAGTATGAGATAACCATAGTAAAGAAAAGGATGGTCATCACTCTTCTCACTTGGTGGAACTGTAAAAAGCAAGAAAAACAAATTAACTTACGAGGTTTGGAGTAATACAAACTTACATGACTGTGCATTTTCTACAGAGGTGCTCTGCACACAATTGCAACTCATTACCAGTGATAAAGCATACTCTTGTTAAAGAGTGTTCTTTAAATTAGAGTTTCAAAAAAAGCACAGGCTGCAGCACAGGCAACATTCATCCCAGCAACTCAGTTCTTACAGGCTAAAATCACTCAGTGCAAGTATTAGATTAGATACTACACAGACTCCTTATTTATTGACCAATTACACCTATTTCAAGTAACAGCAAAAGCAGAACTGCTCTTTAGCAATACAGCATTTTAGCAGTAAAAGACAGCTCCACAGCTGTGAGAGGCAAGACTTGCATTTCAAGTGCAAATGTAAATACTTGATTTTGAGGATCTCTCTAAGGCAGAAAATAGCTCATCATTCTACCCACAAAAACAAATAAACAAACAACTGAGCAGCACCAGGATAAAGCATTTGTGTTTTGAAAGCAATCTTCAAAACACAGGAAGAAGCCATACAATTGTCAATTTCTCATCTAAATGTAGAAGGTGTACATATACATAAATACAGAACAAGAAAATGGCCTGGGGCAGTAAACTTGAGCAGGACAGATGCTTGCATCATGTGAACGGCACGGAAAGGACGTGCTGGAACACAGAGCTGGGAAGAGCTACACTGAAGTGACAGCAGCAGAACCACTGCCCTGTGCTTCTCCAGGGCCTCACAGCACCTGTTCTCAGGTGGGCAAAACATTTATTTACACCTACTTAGAGCCCAGAGGCCATCATGAAGCCCAGCATCACCAGCCTACTGCCATGCTGAAACACAGCAGTTGGCCTGCTTCTCTCACATTCTGCCCCCAAATCTGGCATGTGTTATGGGTTTATGTGCATGCTCATCTCTGTCCTCACTGGGAGGGGAGGGGTAGCACCAGAGAGGAGTGCTGGTCAGGCAATTCCTCACCAGGCTTGGAGTTAGCACAGCTCACTCCCGTCAGGACTCCCAGCCGCAGGGAGCTCACATGAACTCCTCCCCAAGCGCTTTGCTAAGGCTGCTCAGGTAGAAATTATTTCCTCCTCAAGGGCAGAGTAGATGCCGTAAGTCCTGTTACAAGAACCACCCCCAAATCCTGCAGTGACAGAGAGCTATGCCTTCTGTCTGATCCCCAGCACTACTACAACATCTATCACACCAGTTGTTATTTTTTCCTTTCCAATCCCTCTTCTCACCAGTTCTGTTTGCTAGAAAGCAGCGGCATTGTTCACATTTTTGAAAAAGCAGCTAATGCATGTTTCAGAGCTTTTGAACTTCATTTGGAAGTACCTCATACTTGGCAACACACATTGGAGTAAATGCTATTTCTGTTTGCCAACAGGGTGCTATGTAAAAAGACTTTATCTCCAGTAAATGTACTGTGGGAAATGAGTACTCTTATGACTTAACATGGAAAGGCAATTTATCATAAAACATACAAATAAAATGAAATGTGCACTAGAAAGGCAATGCCCAAAATGTACTTAATGAAGGCAGGGTGGGAAGTGTTCAGGTTTATGCCCATGCCCCCCTCATCTCCAGACTCCCACTAAACAAGATTTTGGCCAAGAATCCTTTCTAACCCTGCACAACTCTTCCTTCATCCCTCCATCCCTCTTCCTATTTAATAGTGTTGTTGTGGCATAGATTTATTAAGATTAAACAAACCTGACATCTGTGACTCAGAGGAACATAGTGTTTGCTCTAACCATGCAGAACATTAATATTTTGCAGTTTTTTCCCTGTTGGAATTTTAAAAACATTCTACAGGGAGTGTCAGATTTCTTCCTCAAAGGGGAGGAAAAGAGGCATTACAGAGGTGATTTACAAAAGAACGGAAAAGATTGCTAGTCTTCCTTTACCAAATGAGAGACAAAACAACTCTTCTTGTCTTGAAGATGGGTGGCTCAGCTAACATACAAATGCAGAGCCAGTGGAACAGAAAAATAATATTTATACACTCTCTCTTCAGAGAATTGTTTAATATAAAACCTAAAATGAAAAGAACCGCAAACACTCAAATCACACTCTGTGGCCACCAGAGCAATGAACAGAAAGCAGATCTCCTGGCTCCTAACCAAGTTCCTGTTCTTTTTATGGAAGCAGTGCCCAGAGGTCCTGGCCAGTTCCTGACTCTGTGGGACAGAGTCTCTCTGAGCATGTGGGGCACAAGGGGCGCCAAACAAGCACAGGGCAGGGAGAAGTTTGCCCCATCAGGTGAGGACACCAGCTGGAGCTGCTCTGTGCTTTTCAAGCTACACAGGTGAACAAAGGAGAGAAGAACCCTGGACCAGGTCACATCCTTCACCTTGCACAGGGAGAGAACAGAACAGAGGCTGGGCAGCTTCACTCAAAACAAGCTGCAAGAAATTGTGTACAACTAGACTCTGAAAAGCAACAATTTTTAGACAGGCATTACCCACATAACATCCTGATGATACAGTGCTTAAAAGGCAATCCTCTTCCTCCCATTTAAAACTGTAGAAGAGCATGTCAGAGTAAGCTTTAGCAGCACAGATAAAGGAATATTGCCAGCAAGAAACCACAGATCAAACATCTACTGCTCTGCAAGTGAGCCCCAGACTAAGCTGAACTCCAGAAGCAGGATGTAAAAACATTCTTTTCTCTATCTTGACAGCGACTTGAGCACTATACAGAGTCCTTATCTTTGGCAGCAAAATTATATCAAGTGATTTAATACAAGGGTGTAGTGTTTTATCACCTGGGAAATATCTTCATTTTAGAGACCATAGCAATTCGTATTAGCAGCTTATAAAAATCAACTAGTTTAACATGCTGTAGCAGAATAAGGTATCTCATGTCACAGACAGAATCCCACAACCTTTCAGCTATTGTTGAACTGACACACAAAAGCATTATATGCTGGTTTTACCTGGCTTGATTTTTTTGATGAGGAGGGAATAAGCCAGCCACAGAAGTGATTTTTTAAAATACCTTTCAAGTTTTGAGCCTATTTTGCCCTTCAAGTATTTCTTCCCAATCCTTACCTCAACTCATGAGCCCCTTTGGGTTTTCTTTCCCCATTCTCTGCTCAACTATAGCAGAGGAGAATGGCTGAAGAGTTTTTCCCTGGGTGCCTGGCATTTAGCCAGCATCAAAGCACAACAGCATGGTTAATCTCTTTCTCAATGAGGCAGGACTAATATCCCAATGTAGCACCAATAAGGTCACTAGAACACTTTGGATGGCAGCTTCCAGTCCTTTTCCTCTCTGTTCTCCAACCACCAAACCTTCACTATAGTGCAAAGATTAAACACACTGCCTGTTCTGTTAGCTTAAGGGTCTTGTGAACCCCAAACATTTTGTGCACATCCTTCTGATTATGAGCCAGTCACTGTGCCACCCCGTGTGGAAGGAGAATTGAGCTGGGAACATGGGACAAAACCATTTTCCTATTTTCCCAGCCTGCTACTACCAAGAGAGGTATTGATCCTTTCTGTGCTGAGCACAGCCTGCAGGGAGTGGCCTTGCATGGAGATGCCCCAGCATTTCTGTGTACATCCATCCCTGAGGCTCTGTGGGCAGACTGAGCCACTATTCCTCACGGAGGCTCACCACTGGAGCAGCCAGGCTGATAATGCATGTTCTGAGGGCATCAACACCTCTGCATGCCAGACTAACAGTGTAGCCATGGCTACTTGTAGTAGGATGTGCACCCACAAACACACAATAAAAAAAAAAAAAATCACTGATGTTACAACATCATTCATTTTCCTTCCCTTCTCAGGTGTAGGAGGTTCAGGTCTCTACACCACACCTTCTAGAAACAACGAGTAAAGGCTGCAACCCTTGTGCACTCCTCTTCAGCCACACCTCTGGGCATCAAAGATTGCAGACCTCTCTAGGAGAGGAGATCTTGGTCCAGCTGTTGTCCCAGGCGCTGAACACCCACTAACATGTACAACACAGATACACAGCAGCCTCCCTGAGAGCCTTAAGGTGCTCCCTTGGGACATGAGGTGTGTCCATCAGAAATCCCACCTGAGACCAGCTTTGGGAACACTGTCCATTCTCATGGCCTCAAGAATGTCCCCTCTGCTTTCACACAGCACAGTGGAGCTGGAGCAATGAAAAGAGGTCACCCACTGGAGTGGATCTCAGGAAGATGTGACCTACTTCACAGCCCAATAAAGTCCAACAGTTACAGCTAGAGTAAGGACATGGAATTGTGGCAGGCATCTCCACTAATGGGAAGCAGGCTCATTAAATGAAGGTCATGTCAATTAGCTACAGCTACTTTACATATGCAGTCAAATACCTCGCTGTACTATTTATTTCAGTATTTGTATTTAATGAAGATTCGTCAGTTAATTATTTCATTAATTTTAGGTCTTTTAAGCAAAAAATCCAGCAGCTTAACAGGTTATATTTCCAGCAGAGGGACCTAAGGAATAGCTGTGACCATGTACTTGCTTTCCCTCATCCCAGTATGTGCCATGTGAGTTGAAATAACTTTCAGTAGTGAGTAGATTCATGCTTTAATCTCCAGAAAGGAGCACGTGAAAGAAGATAAAATTAGCAGCAAGTGACATTCGTTTTGTGCCTTGCCATTTTCTAAGATCTTTACACAAAAGTTCAATTTACTAAACCCTACTGAATGCCACAGGCATGAGTTCCTGCTTTATGCATCATTACCAGAGTGTGTGAACGGATATCAAAATAGGATGCATGTCAGCACATGATTTGCAAAGACTAAATGTACTGAGAACAAACAGTATTAACCTTTATCACATGCATAACTGGATGTCTGACACACTCTACTCATCCTCAAGGCTATTTATGCAGCAAAGTATATAATTACATTTTATTACTGCAAATAAAGCACCCACCCCCCAATACATATACATGCACACCCATATCCAATTTGTATTCTTCTAAGTTGGTGCTTCTTGTCAGGAAGAATAAACCTATTTTATTTTTATTCTCATGTTGGTTTTCCCTGAGGTAATGAAATCTACTTAGTCTTAATGCCAGAGATAGCAGACACTATGAAGTGTTTTGAAGTCCAAGATAAACAGCAAGCAAATTTACAAGTAGTGTTAACTTTAACTAGAACTTTTAGCATAAGAAATTGACGTTCATCTTATGTTGCTAAATATTGTCTGTGGTGTAGCTTCTGAGAGCAAAGAAACTCAAGTAATGTCTATATTGGCTCTGCAAAGGCATGCATCTGTCTAAAGGAACACAAGGCATTTTTTGTGGGGTTCCAAAGTTTTATTGGACTCTCTCCCCAGTACATACAGGAATCAGCTTCTGAGAACCAGAGGTGAGAAAGCACCCAAAGAAAATAATGGCAAAATAATAATGCCATGACATCACAGTCCTGATCCTTCACAGAGCCACATATCAGAGTTTCCTACAGACTTTGCTCATACCTTCCTAGACACTCAAACAGACCTCAAACACTCACTGAGCAAGAATTCAGCTGCTTTACTGAGTGCAGAGCAGATTCATTGCAAACACACTTAATTGCATTTAAATTGGCTAAGTGCAGGACTGCAAGGTGTTCCCAGCAGGATCTCTGCTGGACACACTCAGACCCAGTCTGCCCGCACCAGTAAACAGGCAGGAGGAGTTTTGACAGTGTGCACAAGTGAAGGAACAGACCAGGTCCACAGATGGCAGCATACATTTTCAGAGAGACATCTTTAGAAGAGATGTGCACTTTTTAAAAGTTGTGACAATGGGAACTGATGATTGATCCAGTGACACACTTACTGCCTTTGCAGCTGCTCATGCAGCATACCACACTTGGGGCACTCAAACCACAGAAGTTGTGATTCCAGCTGTACTCAAAGAAACTCAGCTCCCAAAGGAGCCTGTGTGTGTGCGCCACCATTTCCACCAAACACAATGTGCTTCACCACAACATTTTTTTGCCAAAATTTCACGTTGAAATCCCAAAGTATTCACTGAAATGTCCTCCACAAATAAAAGCACTACCAACAGGTTTATTTCTGCTTTTCAGAGTACCATGGGTAGAGTAACATGCTGCACTTCTATCGCTGTATCACAAACACTGTACAGTAGAGATGATACTCTAAGCCCAAAACTTGTGCATTAGCAAATTCCAATTTCAAAAGTGACTTCAGAAATCTGCATTTATCTCTTTAGAGTATCCATCAAGGTATGTTCATGCCATGACTGTGGTCATTCAGAAGTAACATGAAAGCAATCTCTGTGAAAGGAAGGTTCACCTATGGAATAGGGTACATACTCTCCATCATGAGACCAATCCATAAGTAATTCCTCCATGCCAAGATAATTACAGCTCTCTGAAATCATTTGCTTCAATAGCCACTAGAGCTTTATAAAATGCTAATTCAACCTGTGTGCAAAAGAGCATTAAGGCAGAACCTCAGACCTCTGAGCAGCATCTGCAGTTTGTCTTCTATTTCACTAGGGCTCTTTGGTATGAAACACTGCACTGAATCACCACAGGACTAAGCTATTCTGCCAAGTACACACATGAAGCTCACAGAGGAGTCAAGCATAATTGGCACCCAGAAGCAGGAACAGAATGGATCATGTGGTGCAATCTAGCACAAGTTGGATCCCTTGAACAGTGACATGTGCCCAGCACCCTGGAACAACCCAGGAGTTCCTGCATCAGTTGAGCTTGGATCTCAGAGTGCCTACAAACTATTGAACAGCATGCGAAGCATCCCACACAGGCACCAGTTCTGCTGCAAGTGGCAGCTTCCTAGGACCTACAGAACATTAGGCACCCAACAGGAACATAGGTGAAGATTTGCCAAGGAAAAGAATGGTTAAAAAGCATGATGATGATCAGATGGAGCAGTCACCAGTGGTTTGGGCAGGCAGTGCTTTCACCAGAGTGAGGAAAGGAGAGCAAGGGCTATTCCTGCTGTTGCAAGGCTCTTACCTTTGGAGAGACCCTGACTGCGTGTGGCACTGCTGTGAGACAATGGCTCGCTTTTAGCCATAGCCAGTACTTGAAATGCAGCTGTGCATTGTGATGTGCAGGAACAGAAACCAGAACTGCTTGTTGTGAGAGCCCTGGCAGGTATTAACAGTCCTCCTGCATTTGGTAGTGGAGTTTCAGTCATCTTTTGGCTGTCTGCCCTTGTGTGTAGATTTTTCTTGACACATGCTCAGTCCAGCTGTCAACAGAGGATCTCCATGGAAATAATTTCCCTACACAGGGCAAGGAAGAAAAGCTTACTCTGAGGAACCACAGCACTTCCTGGGAGTATTCAAGTCCAAAACTACATGGAGCAGAACCACAGCAGAAGCAGGAATCTGTAGGTTTGCAGATTTCACCTCAATCAATGCTAACAGGATTTGTATAAGGATATAAGGATTTGCTTATTGGGAATCCACTACACTGGGCAGCCAGCCCTGCATTTGTCTTGCTGTGACAACAGCTTTATCTTTGAAGATAACACTACTGGAAAATTATGTCACTATGTTAACATAACTGTACTGCAAACACTTTGGCAAGAAGTGCTCTTTCACCAATGATATTTTACAATGACAATACAGCTTCCCACAGATTTCAAAGCATTATAGTTTTCAGCTTTTTTTCCCTCACCTTCTAAGTGCTTTCATGTTGAAACAAGACTTTTGCACTTCCTATGGCTGGTACTCTATCCCTAATCTGTTTTAAAAATCTGGGGCCAGATTCAGCAGAGGGATACACAGGGTCACATTGTATAACCAGCATGCCAGCACCTCAGAGTGACCCAAACAACCTCTTCTGCTCCTCCATCCTTGGGCAAACACCAGTGTACAGGCTTATGGACTTGGAGCACTGTATTTTCCCTTTCATTTCACAAGCTCCACTGAAGGAAAGGGTTTGGAATCCCTAGAAGGAGTAAGGAGGGCACATCTGGCAAAGATGCAAGGGTTTGAAAACAATCTTCATTAGTTGTACTTCTCAAGGTACAAACATTTAATGGAACATAAAGAAAAAAAGCCCCTCCCTGCAATCTTACAGGAAAAATTAATTTATCCAACTCCTGCATTCTCCCAGCTGTATAATTTCTTTCACCAAGGAGTGTTACACTGTGATTTCAGTCAATTACACAGACATTGGAACCTTCTCTTTCTAATTAAAAATGAGGTTACATGCTTCCTGACTTTTCATACTTGCCACCAGATATAACAGATTGTGGCATCGTGGAGAATTATATCCACAAAAATTATGGAAGCTCCTTGAAGCAGTAAGTTCCAGTGGACCTAGTTCAAGTGGACATGACCCTGCCTGGTATAAATCCACAGCGTTTCATTCATAGATTTATGTCACTTGCAAAGGTGACCAGTATTTACGTGGTCTGAAAATCAGATGGGGTCACAACCTAAACTACAGCTAATAGCTGTATCAGAACAAAATGTGACAGGATCCAGCAAAGCAGCTCCCTCAGGACTCCTGAGGGTAATACAGTTTAAAAAGAAAGGGAAAAAAACTTTCTAGGAGTGCAGGCTAGCTCTTCTCTCACTGATATAAGCACATAAACAGCCTGGACATGTCTATAAAGAGAAGTATGCAAAATCCAGCCCAACACCACTTAATGTTCCTCACTTGGGTGTCCCATTTCATGCACAACCCCCCACTGAAGAAAGTGGCTTTGCTGCCAGCAAAGCACTGTTCTCACTGTAAGAGCCCTTAAGCTCCAAAGGGTAGGTTTGTATATGAGATTTCAGTCTTTAAATAAACACGTCTCTAGAAAAACTTCAATACCTGTCCCTTCATGTAAGCAGATCCCACTATGCTGCAGGGAAGGACAGCTTCTCTTCTAATAGCTGGGGGTGGGGGAGGAAAGAGAAAGTTAAAGCAAGAAACATTAAATTACACAATTAGTCTTGGAAAGAGCTGAGTTTTCTCCCTCTCCCAAACATCTCCACAACACAACAGAATAGCTGTAGAAGTCACCATCCTATTCAAAATCAAAACCAAAAATGTCACAACAGAGATAATTAGTAGTTACAGAGAGGAAAAGAGGTTGCCAAAGCTAAGAAATCTGGTACTTAAGCTGTTGTGACTCCCAATTGTACAACACTTTTTGGAGAACGTGCTATCAAAGCCTCCAAAGTGCTTTGCAAATACTGAATCCCAACATCTTTAGGTGAGAAGGAACCCCATCAGAAACGGTGTTTTCCCTCTGGGCAGCCTAAAGCCCACAGGTATTTTAAACATTTTACCCCAGACTGCAGCAAGTCACAGCTCTTGCTCCAAACCCCTCAATTCAACCACTACACAAAGCTGCTTTTACCATGTGTACCACAGGCATATTTTGCTAATCTCTCCATGGCAATTTAGATACCTGACACAGAAAGATGCTGATTAAAACCTGAGGGGTACTACTTTGAATACACGTGCTAGCTCACTTCCATCTGTGTCATTATTAGTTCCTGACTGTAGGTTAACTATAGGGCATGTTGTCATGAGCCTAAGGTGGGGTGGCAGAAACTCCTGCTATTGCCATATGGCTTTTTGTTTCTGCTTGCATTTTTCAGTTTCTAGCCTCATGCTTCCAATTTGTGGGCTCAAGCCCTACACAACAAAAAGCAATAAGGAAAACAAAGCTAGTATTAAAATACAAATATCCTTCACCATTAAAACCTCTAAGTTAGATTTGAAAGGCAACACAAGTTCCTATTTCATCCAGACCAGAGACTGCTTTTACCTGCAGCAAACTTGTTATGAAATTTGGGGAATTTGCAGCAAACTTGTTATGAAAATTCCCATAAAGAAGTACTACTGCACAAGCAGGTATTTACCAGCCCTACAAACACAAACCAGGCAGCTTTGCAAGTACCAAGGGTCATCCTTAATTTAGATAAAATGGAGAACAGCAAGGTTATGCCTACTTGTAACATGGGTAGCAGCACCATCAAAGCAATAAAAGGAAAAAAAGATGACTGAGTTCCAGTTATCTTAATTCCCAGTGCACATCCACAGATCCAGCTTTATGTTAAAATACCAATGGCTCAATGCTGTCCTTAAAAAAACTACGGGTCATGTTTTGACGTCCGCCTGATCATGACAAATTACAAAATATGCAGAATATCAGCAGTTCCCCTGCAGCCATTTTCTAGTGAGCACAATTTGAATACTAAAAGGTATGTCTGCTGGTGCTTTGCAACTGAAGACTTGCTCTAAAGTGTTTAATTCAAAGTAGACATGGAAGTTATTTATTGTGTTTTCTAGGTCTCCCTGCATACCTGTCCTTCCATTAGCTAAAGGGAGAAAAATGATTTATAGTATTTCCAAGCAAAAGAGTCTGTACATTTTGTAATAGTTACAGGAATCAGAGCAGGTTAAAAATATGCAAACGTTACCAAGTTGGACAAAATTGATTAACAACTAGGTGATATGACTTCATGCTTGAAGTTTATGGACTTCAAGATGTTGCCTACAGGTCTGTCACTCTGAAAGGCAGACTTCTTGGAGGCTTAGACTTCTAACTAACTTATTCTTAAACATTATTTCTAACTTTTTTTTAATGGAGGCACATTGAATTCACTCATTCTTTTGCAACAGCCTTGTTCATTGGTCAGTGCTCCTACTTTTGCAGTTACAATGGCAAAAAAGTTTTGCACAGGGGACAGTAGAAATTTATCATTAGTGCAAAATCAAGAGAGACAAAGGACTAGAATGAGTTTTTCAAGGAAGGCAGCTTCATTCCTTGATTTAAATTCATGTGCCAATCATTAGCCTTTAAGGGGAAAGCTCATTTCCAGACATCTCTTGCTAGTCAAAAATACTCTATGTCTGTGGAAGATGTAAAGAAACACCTGGTTCTTCTCTTTGCACTGTTCCATTGGCATCCATTTGCCAATGCCACACCAGTAAATACTCTGGGGCTGTAATGACATGTGAAACATCCTTCTCTGCCTCCCATAAAACAAAAACAATCCTCCACCAGTCTACAAGACACAAGCTGATAACAACAACAACAAAATCATGACATTGACATAAACAGTAACGTTCATATCTGAAAAAGCAAAAATGCAGAAATTCAGATGTGTTTATTTCTACTTGTGGTTCAACCCATCATAAAGCTAAAGGGTGGCCATGGTTTTCAGAAGGACATTCATAGTTCACCACGGTTTCCTGGCACAGGTTCTGGTTAAATCACTCTTGCCAGCTCCAACTTGTTATTGAATTTGCTTCCTCCTCACGCTGCCTTTCTCAGTACAAATTCTATCAAACAGCATTTCTCTCTCAGCACTTACAGCTCAGTCAAACTGGATTATCAACTCAGAAGGAATGTAAATAGCAAGAGAAGATCCAAGTCTTAATGGAGGCAGCCAGCAGGCAGAATTACCTAGAAATACTTCAAAACAAGTCCTGTCACTCGTCCCAACAGCATCCACACACTTCTGTGCTGGAAACACAGTGGAGCCACAACACCACCAAAGAAGGCTTCAGCCATCTGCTCTTTGTTGCTCCTCATTACAACCTTTTATACTCTTGATCTTGCATGGATTCCACCTGAGTGCTCCTTTGGGTGACTGCTCATTGCACCCCTGGGCACCCCAGGGCTCATTGCTGTCAGTGCTGCTCACCTGTCCTGCACAGCTGTACCCACTGGGAATCAGCCACAGCCCCACTCCCAGTCACCACAAACTCTGTGCCCACAACACTTCTGTGCTACACTGAGAGCTGTGACTAAGGGGAGAGGTTGGCTTTACTAACCCAGCTTTTCAACAAAAATTAGATTTCTTTTCTTCTCAGTGTATCACGTACTGAATCTCTACAAGAGCACCATGGCCAGTGTAAAGATGGATAAACTAAACCACATGGATGCTAGATGTTGCACCAAGCTTAAAAAGTGAATGACTAAGGAATCCAGAGATCAGAACCTTTAATTTCTTGGTCAAGATGAAACAGCATTTCTCCAGGAGCAGTTTAAAAAAAAAACAGGGTTTAGATCACATTAGATAAGGCACAATATGCACACCAGATTAAGCTTAACTCATTTTTAAAATATATATAGTAAAGGATTCTGGGTTGAGTCTTTTACATGCTGAATTAATAAACAGCATAGAACAGCATTTTGCTCAAGGTTTTGCCTAGTTCCATTTTTTTTTCCCAGATTCCTCCTGCATTCATGCAAAGCCTACTTGTAACTCAGTGCACACACCGGAAAGGCTGAGGCTGATGTGGAACTCCAGTGAACCAAGAACAGTTTTTCAAACTCCAGTTTGCTCTTACAACTCTCATGCACCCTGATATGGGATAAGCAGTTTGCAGTTGCCTCCTGACTTGTGGCAAATATCCTTGCATCACCGTTTCCCACAGGGGAATTCTGTTCCCTCAGAAGTTTTGAATTAAGCTCTTACCCCAAACCCACTGACAGACTTCAAATATCTTAAGAAATGTAAAAAACCATCACCTGGGAAGTAACACAGTACATGCAATTAATGAGCGGGTCACATTTTCAGGGCGCTGTGAGATGATTTTATCAGCTTCAGGTTTAATTATGTTGGTTTGCTTATTTCAGAAGGCATTTGATAGCTGAGAGCTAGCAGTTAGAAAAGCTCCAAAACATACTGTGTCTCTAAAAGTCAGAAATAACTGAACATGAGATTAGGAGTTCAGGGGGTAAAAAAGGCTCATTGTTTCCCTCTGTAATCAGGAAACAAATTAAGTAGGGAACAGTGCTTTTCTCTCAAATGCAGAGGAAAAACCTGCTATAGCAGTTTGATGTACAAAACAAAAAAAACAAGGAGCAGATACTAGTGTATTCCTTGTCGTTAGATTTGAGATAGTAATAAATAGCTACATATTCAACTTAACTTTGATACTTAACTTTTAGATTGAGAAAATTCTCAATCTAGTGAAAGCAGTCTAAAGGCTGCTGAGGTCATACATTTGGGGAAATCACTTTTTAGCTATTCCAGTCCCCAACAAGTAGACTTCAAAGATGGGATAGGGAACAAACCAACCTTCAAATGAACTCAAATCCTTAAATCCTAATTCTACACTGCATATTACTGGTGTAAGCTTTATAAAAGCTATGGAGCCTCAGAAGCAGCTGCACTGAACTCTTATAAATTTGATTTGCAAATACTTCTTTAGGTGCAGTCTAAATTAAATCAGGAAACGCTTTACTGAAAGTGATGCTTCTTTGCTTACCTACCTAAGCCACACAAGGAAGACTGAACAAAACTTAAGTTACCTGCATCACTAGAACAGGATTCACAGGTAATCATCAACTACAGGGCTAAAAAAGTCTGCAGTCATGCACTAAATCTATACTGTGGAGCAAGGGCTGGGATTATTAAGGTGCAGGCTCCCTTGCCAGAGGCAGCCCGAGCACCCTGTGTGGTTCATGCATCTCTAGGTGGCAGCAGCTGCTCAGATTTTGAGATACTGTAAGATGCTTATCTCAAATTTAGCAACCAGTATCCTTCCATCCTCCTAGAATTGCCTTCCCCAACGTGAAATGTGACCCCCTCCCCCATTTCTTCATAATTTATAGTAGTCTGTAGCTGAGTCACAAGGATTTCTGCATTTTCCTAACCAAGTACACAAGAAAAGAACTGAACTGCCAAAGGATTGAGGTAATTAATAGCGTAAAGCATTGAGAGCTTCTAGTCGATCAAAGGACTCAGAGAAACAAATATAAGAACAATCGTGCCTTCTGTTCTCTACAAATGCCACGGCCAGAAATAACTGTCCTAATTAACTGGTTTCAGAAAATGACTTCTCTGAAAAATACAATATTCTTACCAAGGAAAGTATACAACTGCTACAGCCTTATGGCAGTTGTCAGCAGGGCATGAAAAATCACTAAATGAAGTTTCCTTTTGCTTCCTCTGGTTGTGCTTGGTACTCGTCTTTAGACAGCTGGATCTATTCATGGTGCCTAAATGATGCTGTAAGGGGATATTGCAGTACCCCTGGTACCAGTGTCACCAAGAATTACAATCACATCAGGCAGTACCAGCCCAGCCAACCTCTGTTCACTGGTTATAAAGGGCAGGCATTGCACCTGAGATGAGGTTGGCTTTTTAAAATTTTTGGTATGACTGTTGCCTGGTCAGTCATGCCCACAGCATTTCCAGTACTCCAGACAGTTCTGTGCTCACTGTTGTTGTTGAGTATAGCAGTTGAACTCCACGAGTCCACAGCTGCCTGGCTGTGAGCTCCTGAATGCTGGGAAGGTGAAAAGGCTGAAGCTCACCCTACACTTCACACATAAGACTGTTTGCCCTGTTCCACATGGACAACTCCTGCCAACAGTGTTCCTCCCTGAACTGCTCAGCACCTGGAATTGGTAACATGCAAGTTTAAGGCGCCACGGCAGAGTTGCACAGCAAAATCTGTTATTCATTGTTTGTATTACAAGAGCATTGGTGAGAAAGAGAGATCACCAGAAAGAGCAGACAGGCGAGACTACCTCTGTCTCAAAGAGCCTGCAGCCAAAGGTAAGAGCAGATGGTAGATGGATAAGGAAACAAAGTAGGTAAGATTTGTGAGCTGACAAACAGGGCCACAGCCTACCAGCCCCAGCCCAACTCAGGGACCAGGCAACTCACCCAGTGCTGCTTCCTAATGGGCTATCACAGCACCCAAGGGCTGCCACAGAGCCTTCCCTGCTGGAACTGAAGGCAGTGGGTTGTTGGTTAACAGTTCACTTCAGCAACACACAAAACCAGCTTAGCTTCAGTGCCTTTAAAAGCTTCCTTTT